TTAGAAGTTACCGGTATGGACCTGGCTGCGGTCCCCCTGGCTGACCTGTCAGAGAAGCCGTTGGAGAAGCTGTTGCAGAACATTGGAAGCTCAGGGCAAGCTCAGGACCTCGAGCTGCACTGCCGGGGACTGGGCCGACTGCTGCTGCAGGCAGGCTGGCAGGTAGAAACGCACTACAGCCAAAACAGGCATGATTTCAGCCCAACTAATTCGTACCTGGTTTAGCTCGCTACCGGCCCAGCCAAGCTCCAAGACCTCACCTCACAGTGAGCGACTGCCAGATTGTGGATTCCAGCTGCCCAGATTGTGGGAGGAGCGCGAGAGGCTGGAGGCTGGCTCGTCCTCTGCTTGGTTTGATTGGCCCTGCTTGGGTCTGCTGGGGTCTGATTGGGCCTGGCACTGCTGGGGCTTGTATGTTGTCGGGGCTCGTCGGGGCTCCAGGGCTCCAGGGCTCCAGGGCTGGGCTGTCGTTATCCTGCCACTGGATGAGGATGATGCTCTCTACCTACAGTAGCAGTAGTTAATCTGAGGGCTAATCTGAAAGAGTTCCATCCCGTCGTCATTTCAACGCCTGGACAAACAACAATTTGACGATAAGCATTTCTATTCAACCGCCAATTGGCATTGGCAGAAGAGTCACAACAACACTTGCTTAGACGCTTTGGACGCCTAACCTGATGTGATATTTTATTATTTTCGGTCAGCGCAGACCTTCACCTTCGTCTTCTTGATTTCAAGCTCCCATGTACTCGTAGTTAACCGATTCCACCTCTTCCCTCTTCCCTCTTACCTTCCACCTTTTTACCTTATACCTCTTCACCTTTCTCCATATCGCCTCTGTATTCTTCTCATCTCTCTTTGCCCCTTTCCCCCTCTTGCTTTCGACTTTGGTCTGTTTTGATTTCAATTTGCATGCTTCTATTTGCCGTTTCTTTCACGTAACTTGATTTTTATGTCTATATGAATGAACCTGGGTACAACTGCGGCATAACTTCACCATGGAAGACCTCTCCAGAGCCGAATATCCTGCCATGCTGGTATGCCAATGCTAAGTTCATCCGAATGTTTCACTTGCGCCAATGACTAATGGGTACATTCTACGATGACTAGGCCAGCCTGCAACCAAACCAAGCTGTACAAATACTAAGCGACCGAGTTAAGCGCATAACGAAGCTCAACACCGAAATAGCCGACTGGTTACAGGTATGACGCAACCCTCTAGACACAAACCCGCAGGCTCATAGGCACATAAGAGCTGTCGCATGAAGTGAGAGGGGAGTCTATCTACTAACACGGGCACAGGAACGACGGAAGGTCGAGGAACAATACGTGCAAGGGCTGAAGAGGCTAGGCCAGTTCAGAGTTCCCAACGCGCAATCAGAACTTGGGTATGTCGCATCACGAAGCATCAGTCCTATCCATATCCACGAAGCTGACGAGGTGTTTTCGTTTCATCCAGGACGTTCCAGCCACAATGGGACAAGATCGTTCAGACCACCGAGACCGCCGCGATGGCACATCACCTGTTCGCTACCAAGATCGAGAAGGAAGTCGAGTCGCCGCTCAGGACCTTCCAGCAGAAGAACGAAGTGCACAATATGCAGACCATACAAGGGAACCTCCAGAACATGGCTAGGGAACTGGAAGATGCTCGAGAGAAGTCCGAGAAACTTAGTAAGCGAGGCGCCAAAGCCAGTGCTCATAAGGTAGAACTGGCATCTGGGCGACTTGACTCGGCTATCCAGCAGTGGGAGTCGCAAGCTCCTTTCGTGTTCGAGTCTCTACAAGCGCTAGATGAGACGAGGATGAACCAGTTGCGCGATGCCCTGACTCAGTACGGGACCTTTACAATGGATCACGCCCAGCAATTACAGGCCGATGCCGAAGGAGTGCTCAACAGTCTGTTGGGTTACCACACATCGAGCGAGATCCAACAGTTCGTGTCCAAGACGACAGACGGCCGACCGAAGATAGAGAAGCGATCTGTCCCACCAATACGCCAATCATCGAGTACTACTGGCGGAACAAGCACGAACGCCGCCCGAACGCCTAGTCTCAACGCGCCTACGCCCGCTACCGAGGACGCTCGCAGCGAACATGCTCGAAGCGAACATTCCGTTCCTAGGGACGGCCCGACGGATAACAAGCTTCGCAGCCGTATTGGTACTATGCTGAGTCGAAGGCGTCAGAGTATACACGGTGGCTTCGGACAGTTGTCTCCTGCGAAAGGTCCGTTTGGACGGAATGCCAAGAGTAGCCATGGCACCTACGGAATGTCACCCAGAGGGTCGTCAACCAACCTTGGTGATTCTACTCATCGATTAGGTTCTCTTACGGAGAGACCCGGCTCGGCAGACGGTGTACCACGCTTGTCAGACACTATAGAGAAATTGAGCCACGAAGGTGCCAACGGTACGGGTGCAGATGGGGCTCACGATGCGCCACCAAAAACCAGCTCTTCGTCTCGCGTAAATGGGAATGCATCAGCGGCAGCCATATTTGATGTACCGCCACCACCGGGGCCACCGCCTGGTCAGACGGAACCGGAGAAGGACGCGGAGGGGTTCACTGTACCAACAGCGTCTCACGACCCGATATCTCAAGCCCAAAAGGAGGCAGCTGGTGAGGAGGCTGAACACCTCTTCAAACTCAGCATCCAGAAGGAGCCCGTTGCCGAAGAAGACCCCGAGGCAAAGAAGGCGGCTTTATCGAGCGTCGCCACTAGTCTAGCCGCGGGCATGCCTACGCGGAAGTCGGGTACGGTTAGAGGTCGTAGAGATGTGCGCAGCACTATATATGTACCGGCTCCCGTGTCTGAAAACCCCCTACCTGGCAACCCTTTCCCGCCGTCGCCTTCTCTACCCACGACCTCATCATCTAAGCCCAGTGGAGTTGCTGGTTTAATATCTGAACCAAGCATCGCCGGGACTTCGGATACCCAATCGATTCGGTCTGCTGGGTCACTCGGGAGTGTCGCTCACGCCAAACACCCCGATATGCACGGGCCGGGGCTGAACTCCTCGGTTATCGAGACTGTGTCGGCAACATTCGAAGGTGGCCAAGCGAAATCAGTGAAGGTGAACGGCGAGATTGCCTTCTCGTATAATTCGAATGACCCCCCCTTCTCGTTTGGTAGGTTCCCCATCGCACAGCGTCTGTATTGAAACTAATATCCGTAGGTCAAATACCTGTTCGTATCAACAATTTCTCGGCTCTAGAAGTCATCGGACCCAACCGCATCTTCGTCACGAACCAGACTCCGGAGCATCCAGACCGATTCACCCTGGACCCATCCCACCTGCAGAAGACGAGCATCGGATTCTCTTACAGGCTGCACCTCGACGCGGGGTCATCCCAGGCCGAGGCGTACGCCCCGCTGCTCGTCAACACGGCCTGGAAGCCGCAGGGCGATAAGCTCGGCCTCCTGCTTTCGTACAAGCTCAACCCGGCCTTCAAGTATGCCGCGACGGGCGGAGGCGCTACCGTCCTCCATAACGTCGTGCTCTTCGCGACGTACGATGGCCGCGCCTCGGGCGCGCAGACCAAGCCCTCAGGCACCCACCTCAAAGACAAGCACATTGTATACTGGCGGTTGGGCGACCTAACCCCATCCTCAGCAACCGACTGGCAGAAGATCGTGTGCCGCATCGTCGGCGAGCAGGGCGCGGAACCGAGGCCGGGTATTGTTGAGGCGCGGTGGGAGTTCACGCCGCCGCCACCTCTTCCCGATTGGCTCGGCGGCACCGATCACGAGAGCGAGACTGAGACAGGCGCTGTCAGCGTGTCCCGGCTTGAGGAGGCGAGCGCCAATAGTAAGGGCAAGGACCGCGAGGTCGAGGATGATGATCCTTTCGCGGATGTAGCTTCCGAGAGCGGCGCGACGACAGATGCGCCGCCGTCGCCGAAGTGGGTCGAGGTCCCGGTGGTTAGGAGGCTGGTCAGTGGGAAGTACCAGGCTTTGCCGTTATGATCGCCAAGCGAATCGACCGGGCATGCAAGGGAACAGCAGGAAGTTCAGAGGGTAGTATATATGCGGGGGTGGAAGGAATGTGAGAAGGGGGGATGAAGGAGGGAAGAGAAAGGGGGAGAGGAACGAGGGAAATGGGGGCCAGATTAGGAGGATGGATGGAAGCATGGAAGCGTAAAAGCTTACTATCTTGTCTGTCTTGCCTACTACCTGTTTACCTATCTACCTACCTTGCCTGTCTACTTACTTTACCTACTGCATACATACTCCCAGATATGTCTCTCATGTTGTCAGGGGTTATGGACTGGAAGGGTGGAGGGAGGCCTTTTTTCTCCCGTTCACCATTATTTTACATCATCACAATTATCACCGTTGTTACTTAGTCATCGTTGTCACGTCTCTTCCTCTTTTGTTTTGCTCTTCAAAATTCCCTAGCGATACTTTGCTTATCGATCGATCTAACCTATCTACCTATCTAGACGTCTGTCTTATCAAAACAGGGGTACGGACGTTTGCTTCGAAGAGCCATTACTGTTTCTCCTTTCTCTCTATCTTCTTCTTTCTGTCTTTCGACTTGGAAAGGATTTGCAAAAAAGCATACCTACCTGCCTAGTTATATACCAACCAGCCTACCAGCAATGAAACGAAACAAACAAACAAACAAATCTCCAAAACGAAGGACTAGAAAAGTAGCTAGCTAGCTTCATAACTAGCTCTATTGTAACTAAATGTCATGATTCTAAATCTACCACCTACATACTTGTCTACATGTCTATGCATACCTTGGTCTTTCCTTATCATCTATCCATAACTAATGAATAAGCCATAGCTAACTAAGTAAGTACTCATTATCCAGTATTCTATCAATTTCGTCGATTGGTCAGTCAGTGAAGCAAATTGAAGTAAGACTAGGGGCGGATGGATGTTCTGCTTATGTAACTTAGTGTTCTGGGCGCTATAGACCCTGTCAAGCGGCGATTCTTACATCTTGCGTCATCTGACTAACCTCAAATGACGAAAAGCAAAAAAAGATGCTGGCGTGGTCTAATGGTTATGATTTCTCGTTCACATGATGTGTTCTAAACTACCCCGAGAAGGTTCCGCGTTCGATCCGCGGCGCTAGTACATTTTTGTCGTTTTTGTCTTTTGGCTTTCAGGCTCTTCTTACTTTCTTTCTTTTCTTTTCTCACTTTTTCTCTTATCTTATTTTTTCCCGTCTTCCCCTCAGCCCCCCGCCCTCTGGAGTTCAGTGGGAGCCCAGATCGCCAGAGAATAAGGAGTCCTGTGTCTACCCGTGTACGCTTCTGGGAGACAAATCGATTGCGAGCGAGGAGCTTGACAAATCCATTCAGATGGCCTGCTCACACCGATGACGTGCCGCCAAGATGCTTGTACGGAGTGCCTTCTGCCCTAGATAAGGGTCTCGGTCCTTGGTGCATTCGCTTAAAAGCAGAGGTATAGGCGAATACCTTACCAAGATGCTACTCGCCAGCCACCAACAGTACTCAGTTGATGTAGTGGCCACTGGTAAAGATTTCCATCCTGCAAGCGTGTAAGCCGATGTCACCGTCGCAAGCTCGTGGTCATGCCCATGGTCATGCCCATGGTCATTCCTCAAGAGCAGCCAGGCTTCTAGAGAGTGGCTGAGAGTCCGAGGGGTAACCTCCTATCCGCTTGAACTTTGGGTATCAGGCAGAGTATCGAATCTTACTTCCCCTGGTCTTTCAAGGAGGTTTTGGTATGCTTGATGTCGAGGCGAGCTCCGTTAAGGAAACCTACATGTAGTCACGGGTATAGGGACGATTGACCAAGATCTATGGTTTCGATTGCATCGAATGCATGCCAGCTGCGGGATGCCGACCGATTGCGTTCCATCGCATGTCTTTTTTCTTTTGCGACGGTCGAGGTTCAGCGATCAGTCGAATCCCCAGGCCATTACTACATCGGAGAGAAGATGGACCGTATTACCAAGCATGAGGTGCATGCCAATACTCCCGTAATCTCATCGTTGTTTGTAATTTCATTGTCAGATCGCGCTTGTTCCGCCAGAAGCAGGAGGTAAGATGATTTGGAAGGGAACGTTGGCCTGTCTTCACTTCTTCTGATATGTACTTGAACGATACGTAGACGATCGAAGTAAGCCGGATGCCGATAGATGCCGATATTCAGGGTCGGCTGTCCTATTTCCTATTTGTGGTAACAATCGCCGTTAGAGTCAAGTGTCACTCTGTCGTGCTGGTATGTTCTGCACCATGCCTATATTTCCTGATTAGGTTACTAATGGTAGTAGTTAGAGTCTCCTATGGCTCCCCCTTTCCCCCTTTACCCCAAGATCTACTTCAGCTGCAGAGCCATGATCCGCTTTCCAAGGCTTCCCCATCCCCACCATGACAAAAGCACTATAGTATAAGTACGAGGTACTCGACGAGACTTCATGTAACATGAGGGGTTATTACACCGGTTTCGGCAGGCCGCGTGATAGGTGAAATAGAAGACCGAGGGTAACCAAGTAACTAGGAAGTATATCACCCGAGAGTAATGGAACTAAGACGGAGGAATATATGAAGTCTGCCCCAGTTCTCCTCGAACACATGGATCCATAAGTTCTTGCGCTTGCCCTTGCCAACTGCGCTCTGTAGATTCTAGTCGAGTTACTTAGGTATATATATCTATCGGGCGAAGAAAAAGTCGCCAACGTGAAAGCAGAAAGAACCGTCCAGCCAACATGCCTCTGTACAAGCCCCCCGACGTCAACGCGCCCGTGCTGTCGCAGTTCTCCCTCAAGGGCAAGATAGCCGCGGTGACGGGCGGCGCCCGCGGCATCGGCTGCGAGATCGTGCGCGGCCTCGCCGAGGCCGGCGCCGACGTGGCGCTGATCTACGCGACGAGCCGGGACGCGCACGAGACGGCGGCGGCGATCGCGGCGGCGACGGGCGCGCGCGTGGAGGCGTTCCAGTGCGACGTCGCGGACCGGCAGCAGACGGCCGACGTGCTCGGGCGGATCGCGCGCGACTTCGGTCGGGGCCGCCTCGACGTCGTCGTCGCCAACGCGGGCGTGTGCGCCAACATCCCCAGCCTCGACTACACCGAGGACCAGTGGCGCCGCAACAGCGCCGTCAACCTCGACGGCGTCATGTGGACGGCCCAGGCGGCCGGCCGCATCTTCCGCGACCAGGGCAAGGGCAACCTGATCATCACCACCTCCGTCAGCGCCACGCTCGTCAACCGCCCCCAGACCCAGTCCGCGTACAACGCGTCCAAGGCCGCGGCGGTGCACCTGGGGAAGAGCCTCGCGGTCGAGTGGACCGAGTTCGCGAGGGTGAACTGCATATCGCCCGGCTTCATAGCGACGGATAGTAAGTCTAAGGGGTGGTGGTTCTCGCCTGAGACTTTTTTATGAAAAAGCTCCCTTCCCCCTCCCCCCAGCATGTTGACACGATTATGCTTATACCTACATTAGTGCTTTCGTTCCAGCCGAAAGAATTCGTAGCGGAGTGGTTGACCATGATCCCTGGTCGTCGAATTGCCGATCCAGCCGAGCTGAAAAGTGTAAGTAGGAGAGCAGAGTCTTCCTGCTCTGCTCCTTTGGACTGGGATAATAGCTGACTACTTGTGTTAGGCTTACGTATTTCTCGCGAGCGATGCTTGCAGCTACATGACTGGTGCTGATATTATTATCGATGGCGGATACACACTTCTGTGAGGGAAGTACAAGTGCAATTACCATTTAGAAATCAAGTTAGACCTTAGGGGTTAGTGGCTTTGTAGTGACATCGATAGATGAAGAGACTGGATCAAATAACTTGACCCTAATCTCGAACTTGAACTCGATTGGGCCTGGCCAAGTCCGATGTATTGGCTGCTGAATCCGACTTTGGTCGAAGAGCCCGCGTTCGTTCGAGGTTTTAGTAACACAGAGGCTATTTCAAACAATACTTTCGACGATCGAGTAAATCCGGTAGATTAGGATCAGGACGAAATACTACATGTATCTGCTGACTAATGCTAATCCCGGACGCCTTCGATCATAACCTTGAAAACATCGGACCGTCCCTGTCTCACTAGCTCAAAGGCCTCCTCGGCCTGTTCGAACTTGAACCTGTTCGTGATGAGCTTCTTGACATTGATCTTCCCGCTGGAGATCAGATCAATAGCAGCTGGGTAGGCACCCGCTAGATACCGGATCGACCCCTTGATTGTCAGCCCCTGTGTGGAGACGGCGGTAATGGGGAACATCACGTTCTCCTTGCCCATGCCGGCCTGCACAAACGTGGCCCCCCTCCTGGCGACGAAGATGCCCAGTTGCACGCAGGCCTCGGCTCCGGAGCACTCCAGCACCACGTCGGCGCCCTCCCCCAGCCCAAGCTTCTCTTTCATCTGCTCCGCCACCGTCTCAGCATGCTCCATAGCGTCGACTCCCTCCGCTGGTCTGGTCGGCATGAACGTTTCGTCGGTGCCGTAGGACTTCGCAATGTCCAGCCGGGACTGCACCACGTCCACGCCGATGACCTTCCCGGCCCCGTACACCTTGGCCACGGCCTGGCATAGCAGCCCGATGGGCCCACAGCCCATGACGACGACGGTCTGGTGCGGGCGCAGATCGGCGGTCCGAGCGATGGTCACGGCAACCGAGACGGGCTCCACCATGGCGCCCTCTTCGAGGTCCATGGTTTCGGGCAGCTTGTAGCAGAAGTCGCTCGCATTGACGTAGTACTTGGCCAGCGTGCCGTCCCAGGGCGGCGTCGCCGCGAAGATGATCCCGCCGCAGAGGTGATACGCCCCGCGCCTGCAGTAGCTGCACCGTCGGCACGGAACCCCGGGCTCCATGGCGACGCGGTCGCCGGGTTTCAGGTGGGTTACGTGGGCGCCGACCTCCGCAATCACGCCAGAGGACTCGTGCCCGAGCACCATGGGCGCCTTGACGACGTACGGTCCGATACGGCCACGCTGCCAACTGTTGTTGCTATGATGTCAGTAACTAGTCGGAAAGGAACGACGACATGGGTGAGCCTGGATGAGTAGTTACTGACAAATGCACCTGTTTACGAGTTGAGGTCAGAAGAAGCTGCTAGCTATGGCTGCAGTACCCGTCTAGGAGGATCATATCGACTTACATCGCTACCACAAATCCCTGTCTGGGCAACATGGACGATCACATCGTGATCATCCCGCAGCTTGGGCTTGGGTCTATCCTCGATAGCCACATCTTTGACGGCGCGTAGGACGAAAGAGGGGTTCTGAACTCCGACTTGAGTCAGCTTATGCCAATAGAACCTAGGGTCCCTATAGAAGAGTTACTCTTGTCACGTACAACAGCCATCTTCGGATATTTGCGGGTTACGTTGCTTGAGAGAAGATGAATCCGAGTGTTTCTTGCCTTTCCATATCGCACGACTTGATCGTAGACGGGAACTTTGTATACATGCCGAGACAGACGGAACAACAGGCAGGGTGGTGTTGGCGTCGTCTGCGTTCCGATGGACGGGCGAGCTAACATCGCGCCCCTTAGTAAAGTTACCTATCATTGCGACCCCCTGAATGGATCTATATGCACACGCTCCAGTTTCCAGGTGGAGCACCGGCAATGTTCAGTGGCCTATAACCGCTAGCCAGCTCAGGAAATCCGGGGGGAGGGGGAAGTTGGGGTCGTCGATGCTGACCCGCACTTCGCCAGCACTCGTATACATGTATAGTGCTTGCGTATGTGTATTAGTTTTCCGTGGGCTAAGTTAGAAATGCACTTGATGTGGACAACCGAGCACGTAAAGAGAGCTAGACCAGACAAACCACCGATTCAGGACCCGTAGACTCTTCTCGTCTAATCTATGCTGTACAACATCATTCATACCGTGTGAACCTATAATTTTACATTCACATTGACTTACCAGGGGGAAGGAAAGTAGTATAGCCCGAGCTCGTTGCTTCCTTACTTCCCACATCTTGTTAAAGGCATAATGGGTAGCACGCAAGAGCCAATATTGTCGGCTCCGAATGTCGGCGTGTATATCAACGCTTCTCACGACCTGTGGGTAGCCGAGGCGGCACCGAGCCTAGAGGAAGTAAAGTCCGGTTCAACACTGAAGCCTGGTGAAGTCACTGTTGCCATCAAAACCACTGGCATTTGC